AATAATATCAAATATGTTAATAATATTGCTATAGGAGACATTAAATGAAATAGTAACTGACCAAAAAAACTAGATTTGCTGCCATTGATCAAATTAAAAAAATTCCTAAATAACAAGAAAATTTTGTTAATTTTATGACTCAGGCTCAAATACTCTGAATTCGAATGTATCAGAAAAGTTAGGATTAGATATTCATGAAGATAGGAATATATTTAAAACGATAAAAGGCAGAATAAAAGTAATTGCAAAAATGAAAATTAATAAAATTGAGAAAAATATTAATCTTTTTGTAGTTAATGATGAATATTTCGAGTATGATATTCTATTTGGATTAGATTCTATTTTGAATTTTCGAATGAAACAAGATTTTGATTTAAAAGTGTATCAAAGATTAAATGCAAATACTGAGGAAAAAGATTGAAAGTCAGTTAGTTCTTCTTCTACTTTTACTTTTATTGAATTTGACCAAGTCAAATGCCTTCTTAGGGTCCACGAAACCAATCTTCCCGACCTAAAACCTTGTTGTTCTTCTGCTAATGTTATAGTTTAATTCAGTTTATTTGTTACCACTTTGGTTGTTAATGTTACTGTTGTCTTTAATAAATTAATTCCTCTGTAATTTTCCGGGTCCGATTTGTCTCCCATTTTGAAGAGAGGTAGCTTGATCTCCATCTTTGCGGAATTTTGTTTTGTTCTATTATTTTTTGAATTAGTTTTAATAGTGTTTGGTCAGATTTGGTCCTCCGTCATTTAGGAGTTCGTTCGGTATTCTGTCCCCTCCTGGTAATTTTCTATTTTTTAATTTCCTTAACGCTTCCTTTACCTCTTCGTTTTCAATATTTATTTGTTCGTTTGTTGTTTCCTTTGGTGTTGGTGGTTCATTATCGTCAAATTTAGCAAATAGGGACCGAAAGCAGTCCATTAGTTCGTTCATCTCTTTTCTTTGTCCTCTGCTCATTCTCCACACTTCTTTTTGTGATAGATGTTTTGTTCCATCTGCTATGAGAAGCACCGCCAGTGTTCCTTTTTTATTTGTCTAACTTAAGTATTTGTTGTGTTCTGTATTGTTAAAAGGCTTTCTTCTATTCTTCACATTTTGTCTTCACTTCGTCTCTAAACCATGGGGTTTTCCTAGATTTCCTCGACGTTATTTCCTCTATTTTTGTTTTGTGTTGCACGTTTTGTGTTGAACCGCACGCGGCTCGCATAATTGGATATAGTAATTTTAAAGGGCGCTAAAATACGTCCGGCACGCGGGCGCCGCTCAGCATTGCAAGGGCCCTGCCGACTAACTCTGAAACCGTTTTGATCTTCTAATTCCTTAAATTCTCCATTTTGGTGTTTAAGTAACCGTCCATAATGCCTTGCTAGAGGAATATATTGATACAGAAAATAAAATAATTAGTAGTACAAATAAATTTTGAACTCGTCAAGCATACAGGATACTAACATGCAATTTCAATGACTCTCTCTCACATACTCTCTTTCTTTCACTCCCTCTTTCTCTCTCTCTCTTTCACACTCTCTCTTTCACTCTCTCTCTCTTTCATACTCTCTCTTTAATTCACCCTCTTTCATTCACTCTTTCATTATCTCTCTCCCTCTTTCACCATCTCTCTCTCTTTCACTCTCTCTCTCTTTCACTGTCTTTCTTTTACACTCTCTTTTTCTCTCGCACTCTTTCTATCTATCCCTAGAGGCGCATAGTGAAGAAGAAATGTTTAAATTTAAATTCGGTAAATGTTTTAGGTTAGTGATATAGGTGATTTTAGCTTGCTTTTGGTAATTGCGCCAATGCTCGGTGCTTAGTCCTTATTTATTTTCAATAGTTTTGGATCAGCTAGCATCGAAACTACAGAGTAATACATGGGATAAAGGCAAAGAGAATAATGAGTAATTTAAGTAATTTTTTCGATTTTTCTCGGGAACTTATAGCAAAATGGAAGGGAATACCGAATTTATTTTCTAATTAAGGAATTGTATTTAACACATACCTTTTGAGTAACGACTAAGTTTATTTTAGTATAAATATAGTATAACAAAAACTATATTGTATATTAAAATGGAGCAGTCATAAGTTGTAACCGTTTCAAAAAATTTATTATTATAATTCCGAGTAAATATTTAAAATAATATTGCTCACACCATCTATCCGCTGAGTGCATTTAAATTACCTCAAGGACATTACTGTAGTTTCTAACATCTTCGACCGACACCTCAAAATGAGCGCGTTCGTTAACTCATCTTGACTTTCCGAGCGAAATTCATCTCCCTACATATTTATCTCTTTGAACGTCAAACAGTCAAGACGTTATTTTGTTTTGGTCTCTTGATGAAGTAAGCCAAAAAATTTCTCTTAAATATTTTCACATAAATATTTAATTTAGACCCTTATCGGAAGCCCCGATAGTTACTACCACTATGTTTATTGGCCCGAGGTTGTATAAATAGATATGGAATTATGGTATGTATTCTGAGACACAATGCTATATATTTTTATGGTGTATAGTATGTTCCTGCTAGATAGATCCAAGGTTTCTGTCAGCCAAGTACCTAGAGGGTTAAAAAATTATATCCTTTCTTCACGCCCACCAGCTTTTGGATAATTCAGGTTGTACCCATTTTATATTTTTTATTGAACAGTAAAGAATATCTAAAGAGAATATATGGAAGCAGAAGCAAGAATTGAACACATAGACGACATAGAAGATAATTCACCCAGCAAAAAACAAATCGAGGAAATCATAAAAAATCTGAAAAACAACAAATCCCCTGGAAATGATAACATAACAGCAGAGATGATGAAATATGGTGGAAAACTGCTAAATAATTGGATATGCAAGATCATAAAAGAGATATGGATAAAAGAACGAATACCAGAAGATTGGAAGGAAGCCATTATTTATCCATTACACAAAAAAGGAGACAAAACAGAATGCAGTAATTACAGAGGAGTAGCGTTACTAAATACCATATATAAAATCCTATCAAAATCGATAAAAGATAAGCTGGAAAAAGAAGCTGAAAATATAATAGGCGAATACCAGTGTATATTTAGACGAGGGAGAAGCACAACGGACCAAGTATTCATAATAAGAGAGTTACAAGCAGAAAGCTATGAACACAACTTACCAACGATAGCGCTATTCATCGACTTCCAGCAAGCATACGACAGAATAAAAAGGAAGGAATTAAAAGAGACCCTTGAGGAACTGGAGTTAGCCGAAAGTTGCGTAACATGGTACATCTTACTTTAGAGAATACAGAAAACAGAGTCAAAGTCAACAATCATGCATCGGACAAATTTATAGTAAACGAAGGATTAAGGCAGGGCGATCCTCTGTCATCATTACTCTTCAATTTATGCCTAGAAAAAATAATGCGAGAAGCGAGAATTAATAGAGAAGGACTCCTATATCATAAAAGACACCAAGTTTTGGCATTTGCGGATGATATAGTGTTGCTGGCAAGAGGAAAAAAAGAGCTACAGGGGATAGTACAGAGAATACTAAAAGCAGCAAAGAAAATGGGACTTTACATAAATGAAACTAAAAAAAATGTATGCAGTGGACAGATGATCAGTTTAGGGATGGACAAAAGTTTAAAGTAGAAGTAGAAGAAAGATTATCATACGAATTCGAAATGGTAGAAAGATTTACATACCTAGGTACAATAATATCACGTAAACCTAACATTAAAGAAGAAATACAAGCTAGAATAATGGCAGGCAATAGAAGTGTACATGCTCTTAGTGGAATGTTGAAAAGCAAGTTTTTTATCAAGAAAGGCAAAAATACAGTTATACAAAAAATGAACAAAATTTACTGGAGATATGGGAAAGGAAAATCTTGAGGAAGATATATGGAGGAATAATAAGGGACGGTTTATGGATAAGAAGATCAAATGATGAGTTAAAGAAATTATATAATCAACCTAACATAATAGGAGTCATAAAGGCACAGAGACTAAGATGGCGAGGTCACCTAGAAAGGATGCCAAACACGAGGACTCCAAAAAGGGTACTAAACTACAATATAACTTCAAAAAAGAGAAAAGGAAGGCCAAAAAATAGATGGAATCAGGAGGTAGAAAAAGATATGGAAGAAATTGGACTAGACGGCCAGAAAAGAAAAATGAATAACAAGAAGGAATGGAGAAAAGTCACATATCGAGCCAGAGAAGATCTCAGTACATAAAGGAAAGCGAAAATAAAGAAAGAACAAAATTTTTTAAGCCATGGGCCTCTAAGGCCTTTAGTGCTATTGTATATATATAAAGAATATCTATGAACGACGTGATTTATAATAGATCTTTTAAGTATAATAGATATTATACCTAATAAACAAATGTATTGTTATGTGAACTAATTTCGAAATTTGGGATAAAGTATAATTTTATTTTCATATTTCTCATTCATAATGCCATGATATAAATTGTTTGTTTTCTTACAATACGATTTTAATTTTAGTTTCGTATAAACACTTATCACGGTAATTGAATACTGTAAACACAAATTGTTTAGTTTTTTTTTCTGGGACGACGTAGAATCTTTTAATAACTTTTTGTTCCTTATAAAATAATAAAAGTTAGCTTTATTTTAAATTTTTCTTCTCAATTCTTAAAGCTCGTTTCCTTACGAGGATAAACATGGGATGGCGCCCATTTCATTTTAATTTTAAAGATAATACAAACAGCTTCTATATGATTTTTGAAAGGGCCGCACCCAAACTCTTCGACCAAAGCAGAACGGCCTAGATTATTTGTATACCTAAGTAAATAGTTTGTTCAGGTTACAAAGTTATACACTGAATATATGGATTCATATCGATAATGTATTAATATCGACAAATATTCTACAAAAATGTCTCAGATGATAAGAGTGTTCGACCACGAATGACACAACGTAATAAAATTTTAATTTATCGAAGATGCCAATTCACATAAAAGGTAACATAAATTATTCTAAAATGATAGAGCAGAAGTACAAAAAGATTACTTACCCTTTTTATTACTAGTTTTAAAATCTTCCCAAGCTGCTGCCATTTCATCTTCAGTCAACTTCTCTTCGTGTCTATCAACTAATAGAGCCTTATGTTCATGATATTTATAAATGCATGGTAATTTTAGGATAAGTTTGGCCAACATTTTATCTTCGGGAACGTTGGGAGTGGGTCGCTCGTTATCAGCACTCGGTCGACAAGCGTACAATTCCATGAGATCCATGCTCTTATAGTGTCTATCTATTTGATGTTTATCAATTACTCTGTGAGCAATAGCTAATTTTGTAACTGTCCGCTGGTATATTTTTTCTTCCATGGCACCCTAAAAAAAGTTTAACTTTTATTTAAAATTTAATACTAGATATAAATTTTATATAAATAATATTTATATTTTAATATAAATATTACTGTCACAAAAACATACACAAATATACATGGTTTCAACCAACAAGGAATCTTAAGTCTATAATAGATTACATGATAGTTAAACAAAATTCACAAATACTCATTAGAGATATTAGAGCTATGAGAGGAGCAGTATGCGGATCAGATCACCACATGGTCAGGGCAAAAATTGTTTTCCCATATAGATTAAAGGACAGTGTATCATCAAGCCAAGACGAACAACTTTTAGAAAGAATTGATCTTCCTCAATACAATCTGTACAGTTTAATTCATGAGAGCACCCGTACACTATATAAGACTCGAATGGACACCAAACTTGACGAAACACTAACAAATACCAAATGCATATATGAGAACATAATATCAAGTATTCATCAAACAGCACAGGAGGTCTTAGGAATCAAACAAAATAAAATTAGTAACAAGCTTTGGTGGAATGAAGACTTTGAAAATGCGGTAACAGAAAAGAAAAGATTATACCATAAGTGGTTGAATACAAAAGATGACGCAGACAAAGACCGATACAATGAAATGAAGAAGAAAGCTAGAAAGATAATTATGACCTCCAAAAATGAGACATGGGACAGAAGGTGCAGAGAGATAGAATCTTATATTGGAGGACGACAATGCACTGAGGCGTGGAAGTTTATAAACTCTGTTAAGAAGCCGACTAACGAGAAAGTGATTCTAAATCCCATAAATCCCGAGGATTGGACACATTATTACAAACATCTATTAAATGAGAACAGAGACGAATTTAAAGAAGATATGAATTCATCAAGAATCGAAATTCTGGGAGAGCATATTACCATAGATATCAACACAGTTCAAAAAGTTATAGCAGGGATGAAGGGATGAAGAATGAGAAAGCAAGTGGACCAGAGGGAGTAACTACGGAATTAATAAAGAATGGCTCAGAGAAATTACACAGAATGATCACGGTGATATTTAACGAATATATTAATGGACATCCAACACCAGATGAATGGAAAACAGCATAAATATATGACCCCAATATATAAAAAAGGTGACAAAAAAATATAGAGGGAAATATAGAGAGAAATTGTAAAAACTATAGAGGGATATCGGTCACAAGTTCAATGAGTCGACTATACGGTCGAATACTACGGGATCTGATAGAGGAAGATTATCAATCGTCTGAAGGCGAAGAACAAGGAGGATTTAGAGCAGATCGTTCATGTACAGATAACATCTTCTGTCTTAAACAAATTATAGAAAAGAAAGTTGTGACAAATAGAGAGTTACATATGACTTTTGTAGATCTTGAGAAGGCATATGACACAGTCCCGCTAAATAAACTATGGGAAGTCCTGGGCACATCAAATATACATCAAACATTGGTTAGTGCTCTCAAAGATCTATATTATGGTTCAAACTCCCAAATGAAATTCGGAAATCTCTTAGCTGAAAAATTTGCAGTTACTAAGGGTCTCAGACAAGGATGTTGTATCTCTCCGACTCTGTTTAAGATTTATATCTCTGCAGCTCTGAAACAATGGAAAAGGAAAGTCAAAGGAATGGGTATACAATTGAACGATCAGGATTACATATATACTTTACAGTTTGCAGATGATCAGGTGGTGATCTCAAATGACAAAGACGACATGGAATACATGCTTAGAAAACTAATTGAAGAATACCAGAAAAGGGGATTAAATATCAATTTAGAAAAGACAAAATACCTCTCAATTGGAGCTGAAGCAGAACAACTCGATATCGATGACAATCAAAAAGTAAATCCATGTGACGAATATAAATACCTGGGCGTCATCTTCGACCGTAGTGGAAAAGACGAACGAGAAATAGAACATCGAATTGTACAAGCACGAAGAGCTATAGCATGTTTGAACGGAGTCCTATGGAGTAAAGAAATATCAAAGAAAAGAAAATGGAACATCTATGAGACAATGGTTAAAACTAGCCTACTTTATGGAGCTGAGACATGGAGAATAACCGAGAAATATAAGAAAAAGGTCGAAGCCACGGAAATGGATGCCATCAGAAGATCGATGAGAATATCAAGAGCCGACAGAACACGGAATGAAGTGATAAAACAACAAATGGGTATAGAGGGCACTATAGTTGAGGATATTGAGAGAAAACAGCTCATACGGTATGGACATGTGAGCCGAATGGGGGACGAAAGATTGCCTAAAAAAACGATGATGTGGCAACCCCCAGAGAAGAGGAAACGAGGAAGACCACCACAGAGCTGGAACCTGGGAGTTAGGAAAGCGATTAGCGCTCGAAATCTGGACGAAGACCTAACTCAAGACCGAATACAGTGGCGGTTGGGAGTCGGACAACGTCGTAAGACGTTATAAAACCGAATGTATATATATATATATATATATATATATATATATAAATATATATATATATATATATATATATATATATATATATATATAAATTTTATCGTAATAACCAACAATTAGGTTTATTTTTAAGAGAGGTACCTGATTCAACAGTCACATTGAAAAAAAGGAGTTTGCATAAATCGAATACCTGTTACTGATTCTCTAATTGTTCACATTATCGAAATAATATACTACTAAAACACTCTAAATATTTCAAACATGTAAAATACTTCGTCCGATATCTGAGGCTGTATCTTCAGTTCTATGAGCCAGTATCGATTCTTTACCCCAGGTAGGTGGCTAACCTCACCTTAGGTAGGCTAAAATATTTCGTAACGACATAGAAACATCAGAGGAATGGCATAAGAGCATCACAATCCCCATATTTAAAAAAGGACAAAAAACTTACCCACAAAACTACAGAGAAATAATCCTCTTAAATACAACGATGAAACTTTTCACGAGTATTTTTAAGGACAAATTGGACAGGCAAATCACTAATGCTGAAGAACAACAAGGTTGTACAAGAGGGCGGTCTATAATAGATGCAATATTCATAATAAAACAAATAAAAGAAAAAGCTATAGAGTTTAGCATGCTAGCGTATATTTGCTTCATTGATCTGACGAAGGCGTTTGACAGGGTTCGCTGGGAGATATTCTAAATCTGTGGTGTTTGGGAGACATATGTTAACTCCAAAATGTATGTTTTTCAGTAGAGCAATTTTAACATTCCACAAGGTTTCTTAAATGGAAGGCAACCAAATTAAAAACCAAATATATTTCATTAAATACTTTATTAAGTGCTAAAACAGATGTAACAAACAAAATATGTTTTAACATTTCTGTTTTTGATATATTGGCACATATCATATTTGTATCAAAAATATAGAGATTTAAAAAGTATTTTAATGGAGATAACGGTCAAATAGGAAAGAACTTAAACTATTATTGGTCAATTTCTTTGTATTGGAAAACAGTGCTGTGAAAATATATGGCTTTATTTGCACCTAATTAAAACTTAAGCGTCGAAATTTTTCATCACTGTCGCTTGTATATTGTGTGGTACTGGTATGAGTGTGTTTAAGCGAATGGTAAAATCCATGATAGATTGGATCTATAAAGGATAGTCGAGAATATCTTTATATTTCAAATAATCTATGGGTAGAGGATCACTACAAGCTGGAAGTATCTGAATATTAGACATGGAAGTTGACCTGCCTCTTCTTAGCATGGACATTGAACGAAACGGTTCGTTGGGATCTAATTTGTATTTGAAGCCTATATAACTATCCTTTTTGTAATGTGTTCAGTCCTGTGGAACTGAAATTGTGGCGTTTATTTTTTCACAAATCTCTCCATGGTAGCATAGTCTGTATCACGTTCTAAATGAGTATGATCAGGAACTAGGAACTTATTGTGAATTTCTTTTAGAGTTTCCTTTCCTTCAAGTGCTTTTAAAAACATAATCGGTAATATATTATTTCGGTTTTGACCGGGGCATGTATCAGAATACAGGACTACTTTTTCTACCTGTTCTGGCAAGTCTCTAATAAACTGAAATAAGCAAGATGCGATCTCATCAGCTCCTCGTTGAGCTACAATTTCATGCCACATATAACACGATGTCCGTTTTGTAGTGATATTGCGGATCGTCAAATTAAAAGTCCATAACTTTCTTTTATAGAAAGCCACACTATATGTCAAATTAGGTGTAGTCAAATACTTCTGCAAATCAAATGCTACTACTACAAGCTTGTCTAAGCTCCGCATACTTTCTTCTTTGTCGTCTTGTTTTGTTGTATAATGAAAGGAAGCATTATTCTGGTATTGTTGGCTTTAATTTTCTAATCTTTGTTTTTCTTCTTCCGAGGCACAGCTTTTTATCTTCAGAAACAATAAATTACAGATTTTGCAAGTGTCATTAGATGGCTTCTTAAACTTAGATAGAAGTAGAAGATGCATTCTTTTTTTTAACAACGTCATCTAAGAAACTTCTGGTTTCGCCAAATACTTTCAAAAAGCAACATTTACAGATATTACCATCCATATTCTCCAACTTATAAAGAACTGTAAATTACCTATTTTTGAATGAGTAACCACGCCGTGTTCTTTCTTTAGGTTTTACTGTTATTAAACTAGTCAAATAACGTTTCTGTGTATCCATAGTTAACAAGTTTCTGTAGTCTCTAAAAATTTGCTTTAGATCAACAGAGGCAGTCTTTTCATGACATTTTGCTTAAAAGTTTGTGGACACAGGAATTGAAACTTGAACTGAAATGCTCTTACCTTTAGCAATAATGTATTCCTCACCTTTTCTTCTTTCAGAACGGCCTTTCTTCCATTTTTTTATACTTATTTGAGCCAAAGGAAAGTGATCTTCTAACTTGTTTTGAGGGTCTTCGGAATCAGCTTTTCCATATTCACGTTCAGAATCTGATGGTTTCAGGTGATAGATCCAGAACTTAAATTATCACCAGAAGTTACTTCAGAAGCTAATAAATTCAGCAGATTAGTATTTTCTTTAAGATTTACTG